GCCATTAATTTGAATTCCCAACTAAAATCTCCTAGTGTAGTAATTTATCTATTAAATGGTGTGTCAAGGCTCGATATATATCATTGTGCTGAAGGCTCCAGCAAGAAGCGGGCTTTCAACTCTTAATATACGAAAGATCGACGCGAAAAACAGAATCTAGTAACTCGCGTTTTGCTGTACAACAAAAACCTCCGTCACGCCGTGTTATAGCCTGATGAATGTTTTATGAATTACACGCTTGGCGAAAGCTCGGCTGAGAAGGAGAGGTGATGGGATTAAAATGTGAAGACAAGGACATCTTGCTTTTATATGCAGTGTATTGTCGCGCGACCAAGAGAGGCTCTTGTCCGTCTTATCGCTAAGCAGGGAGGAAAGATAGACAATAACGCGTTTCCGTTTTGCTTCGTGATTGAGAAACATTGGCTTGAACGAGAGAGGAAAGAGAGCCAGGTATATAGTTCTTCGTAAGCAGCTTTTCCGCTCCTATAATCACAATACATCTTCAACGGAAATGCGCTAATTCCGCTGCTCAACAACAAAAATAATTCTTTTCTTTGTGGAAATAATAAAAGCAGATATTTCTATAAATTTTCTTACGGCGTCACCTTTACAACACAAGAATTGATAGAACCGGAATAGGTTTAAATTTCTTTTACTTTAGTGTTTTATGAGAATAAAATGACGATATTGAATATTTTATAAGTATATCTAATTTGTAGTTAAATTCGAACTGAATAAAATATGCGATTCCAAAAAGTTTGAATATATATTAAATTTATATATATCTATTATTACAATATTCTTTTCATTGTGAGATAAAATTTTACGCGCTCTATAAATCACGATATAAAACAAAATATGCGGTTTCAAATCCAAATCGTTAAAGCATTCAAATGATTTTCTGATTAAATCTTTAAATAAAGCGGCAGATTGATATCACCGATTGGAATCGGAAATCGAACCGCAAGATTCGTACTTTTCATGCGATATTACAGTCATTTGTGATCCTTGTCATGACATGCGGAAGTTTTGAAACTCTATGATTCAATCCAGATTCCAATATGTGATTGTAATCTATCGTTCAAATTTTACTCGTAATCTCTATGCTTTTATCTTCTCGCCAGAGTAAAAAGAAATTTCAATACTTTTCAAAATTATATTCTTTATGTGCAATGATTATTATACAATTATTTATAATACCTAAATTGAATGTGGGAAAAATTAATACGCGATTTTTATTACCACTAAAATATCTCTGGTAAGGTGGAAGCGTTAATTAGCGGATTTAATCACCCTAAAGAGATGGCGCACTTGTTTCCACCTAATTTTTCAAAATTATATTCTTTACATATACACATTATTAATGTGTATGTGTAAAGAATATATAATACAAAAATTATATATTATAATACTTATAATTTTAAATTTTAATTTATAATATACATAAATTAAATAGGAAAAATTAATACGCGATTATTATTACGAATAAAAAAATATCTTTATTTGATCTTCATGAATTATTTTCACGAATTGGAAGCTAGTTGTCCAATTAGATGTCTCAAATTAATTGGAAGCGTTAATTAGCGGATTTAGTCAGCCCAAAGTGATGACGCACTTACGTTTCCACCCATATAACGTCAGCGAGATAACCCGAGATTTACGTACACCGTCTCTTCTATCTTTAATTTCAACGCGCGCAAACTTTTACCTTGTACTTCGCAATCGCGGTTGCTCCTTTGTCTACCTCGGACGCGTAAGCGTTATCGATTAGTACGAAAATAAGATTAGCAAAAGGGGAGAGCGAGCGCGCGCACACACGCACGTTTTCACTTTGTTTAATAATTGAGAGATAAAAATATTCTCGAAATTGTTCTGGCCAAGAGAGAGAGAGGAAGCTGCAAAAGCGTTTGCAAACAAATTTGATTGTAGCAATAATTTTTCGTACGAATAATAATTTAAAAAAATAATAGACAATATAAATAATTACGGATTGCTGAATCAAATATTGTGCCGCAAATAAGTAATAATGAGTCGTACGAGAGAAAATTGACTTTAAATTAGTATTTTGGTGATTTTGGGGACGCTTTATTTGTGTATATAATTTCCAGAGAATTATATAGAAAGCTCCGTTGTCAGTTTTATTATCATTAAGATGTTTTGATTGTATGTCTTGTGACTTTATGCAGGCGATGTGGGAAATTATTGTCGGCGTGTAATCTGTAGGAAAACAACAAAGTTGTTACTTCAAGATAGAGGAAGAGAGAGAGAGAGACTTTGCATCGGCGACAATAACTAACTCTCTTGCTTTTATACGATCTATTTTTATGGTTGGTATCTACACGGCGTCGTTGGCCGATAAATTCTCACGTCGTTTCTAAAACGCGTTAGTTGTTATATTTTATCGCCCGAGACAGAATAGAGTACTTTGTTGTACCACGAAATCATAAGCGGAAGTAAAAGTAAGTAGCTGTGCTGGTGGCAGTGATTTCAAGTGAAAATTATGCATTTGATATTATGCAGCTCTATACCTCTTATGCGAAAACGCGATAAAATTTTTTTTATTGTGAAATGTGTTATATATGTCGAGATAAAAATAGCCTTTTATTTCGGATGAAATAATTATCAAATGCATCATTTACTGAGAATATTTAATATCTTTTTATTAGTTTATTCACCAATAAAGAGTTTCTTTTGAAAGAAAAATAATTAAAAACATTTTATTATAGGAAAAGCAATTTTTATTTGAATATAATATAATATATTTAAAATCAGAAGCTTACATTTTTTGTATAATATGTATTTTATAATTCTAAATATATTTTTCATTATATAAAATTATATATTAAAAATCATGTTCTTCTCATTAGTAAAGGATTCTTTAACCAATTTTTATTTAATTACAAACAAAACATTAGATATATTTCTCAATTATTTTTAAATTATTTAATATTGAATTTTTTTATTTAAAATAATTAAATGCTCAAAAATTAGAAAAAAGCCAGAATTTCAACAAATTATTATCATTTTCTTCTAAATGGTTTAGTGAATGTAATTTTGCAACATTGTTCTTTAAAGTTCCAATTATACATGTAAAAAATTAAAAATACATGGTACTATTTCTTCGATATTTTTAACGTAATATATCGTAATATAATCAATCAGAGTACCGAATTTTCATAAGATTATACGTAAAACTAGCAGAAATTTATTTAAATTGCAATAACTTTTAAATGAGTTAGTGAATTAAAAGCCAAATGTTGACAAGAAGTAACTTTAATATCAAAGTAGAAGCAATCTATATATAATTTTATAAATTTTGTACCATTATTTTATATATGTTTCCCATATACATCCTTTATATTTCCCAATCATTTTAATAATTATTCAATATTGAATTTTAAATACATTTTAGAGATAGACAGAAAATTCACTCGACTATGAACTTTGCCCAAGGCCTATTTCTACCAACGTCGATTAAATTAAACCTGCGGTTAAACTTTATATCCTTATCTCTTATGAGATAAGTCCTTAAAGAGAGACAAACATATAGTTTAACTGGAGGTTTAATTTAATCGACGTTGGTAGAAACAGGCCTAGGAGCGTTAAGTAGCGAATTTTAAGTAAAATTCTCATGATAACTGCAACTATTCAAGATTAGTTGTTACGATTTTCCGCTCTCTTATGAAACTCAACAGCACCGACGGAAATCGACGTCGGTTCAGATCAGGCTGTCTCCTTTCTGATGCTAACATTAATATGTCTTTGTCCACGGTGGAAGCGCATTGTGTTCGCCACGTAAAAGCTCAGCCGGATGGCGAGTGTATATCGTATAGTATATGCGAACATACACACACACCGTGGGGATATCGATCGTTTTGCTTCTCGTGTGTATCACCACCACGTTGCATAAGCGCGCACGTACGAGGCTGGATATAGGGGTTAGCGATGGTGCGGTGTACGAATTGCATGTATATCCTATAGCGGGCTTTCTCGTAGTCGGGCTTCACCGATCGAACGAGAGTGAGACAACGTAGTGGCCGTATCGCCATCGCTTCCGCGGCGTTTGGCACCGGAGGTAGGACCGACCCACATCCAAAATCGATCCGCGACAATTGTTTCTCTCGTGTCCGTGAACGCGGAGATGCTTGCCCGTGATGGACGCATTCGTTAAGCAGGCCCGACTATGTTGCCTGTTGATAACTCAAATATGGCAATGAAATTGCCCCGCACATGTCCTCGCGGTTTTCGAATGTTCAATATATGTCATCGTAAAATTAACTTTATATTAAGGTTTGTTGAAAATTTCAACTAAGAATTTATTACTTTTATTTATACAACTATAAAACACATGTCATCAAGTTATTCCTGCTCTTTAATACAAATGTATAAATATGATTATATATAATATATATAATATATATATATATATATATATATATATATATATATATATATATTTATTTATTTATGACTGATAATTATTTTAAACGCCGCTGTTACATTTTTGTGTAAAGGGAAAAATATGTTATGCATACTTTCCAACAATATCGTTGAATGCCACATTCATTACTGAACGTATCCTATATACCTCGGTTGTTTTCTCCTCGAAAATTCCATGACTCATTTCTCTTTAGCTTGGCTGTTTAATTAAAAACTCTGTGTATGCTGGGGAGGGTGAGCAAACGATTATATAGTCTCTCTTTAAATGTATTTTTAAAATGCTTTTTAGACATTTATTTAAGGAATATTTTAATATGTTTAATTGGTTCGATTATGACGAAACAACTCTAATAATGATAAGGAATAATAAATGATAACGCTATGAGTAATATCCGCTTTATTGAAACTTAGCAACACTTTGTTGTCGAGTCGAATTTAACAATCGCTTGAATTAACATTCAAGTGAGGTTTTATCGCGACGCTGCATCCTGGTGATTATTGCCTGGTGATAATAATCCTCGCGCGAAATCCTGACAGATCTTGGCTGCTTTATGTTGCAGGAGGAGTGGCAAGTCCGATAATACGGCGATGGGTGGACTGGCGAGAGGATTTTGAGAGTTCGTAGCGATACATCGCACAGGTCATCCGGGTCAAGTTTCGCCGGACGATGGAGGTTTGTCCCTGAAATGGATCCAGGATAGAAGAAGGTGCGTAGGACTCGCGCAGAGGCAGACCAGGAACGAGATTTCAGGATGGGGAAGTGTTGCAGTAAACGGCAAGAGCCTCAGCCGATCGGTGAGTCTTTTATCCTCGTATCGATAACACGCGTTATTTATAGGAGCAATTATTGCGTTATTTTATCGTAATAATTACCAGCAAAACATGTTGCATGAAGATCGATTGCTTGCATTAAAATCACTACGATTAGGGAACAAAATTCCTTCTCTCCTTCTCTTTCTTTCTGTCTATCATTGAATTTAATTTTTCGACGAATTAAAAAAAGTCTTAAAATCATGGATAGAAGTTGTAAATAAAATGTAATGATTTCTGTCTTCTCAATTTGATTCTAAATCTTCTTACATCGGTATTGTGATCCGTAAATCGGGACAAATTCTCAAGAAAAATGTTTATTTTAGATGAGACACGATGCATAAAAAGGTCGAGAGACAGAGTTACTTAAGATTTGTACAAACAAAAGATACCTATATTTCTCATCGGATCGGTCCCCCCTTTGACGAGAGACGGGTTCTTCTCTCTGTTCAGGTTATAAGAAAGCAGAAACGGGACTCAGCTCAAAGCACAGCAATGGAGGTTCCTTGGACCGATACACCGCCGACCCAAATCAGAGAGGCGTGCAAGCTCGGGCGGATATTATCCGACCGAGGCCGACACCCTGTAAGCTACAGATATCGCATCAGCAACCCCGTAAAACGAATCCGCCTGTTAAATCTGCATGTGTGTATTTATGTTAAACCTTCCTTTATTTTTTACGTAGAACGGCCGTCTGGGCGAAGATAGAGAATTTGGGTTTTGTTGCAAGTATAATCCAATCTTGACATTTTATATGCGAAATCGCTTAGCTTAATCGTTGTCGTGTTTTTTTTAAATGTTTCTATCTGTAACTCGAATCGGTTTATTTTATAATCATATCATTCCTCGATGCATAAGAATGATCGCCATATTTATCGACGATAATAAAAAAAATTGGATGTTAAATTTATTATATTAGTTTTGTTTTTTTTATATACAGTTTTTTTAATTAAATCAAGGCGAGATAAATAACAGCCAAGCTTTGTGTATATTTTATTGTAAAATTATTGTAAATATAAAATATGCATTTATTAATATCTGTAATGCATTGAAAGTTACACTTTGAATTCGTCATTGCTTGGATGAGAGTTCTCAACTTGAATTTTATATTAATAATATTTTTTACTTATTATTTTTATCTGTTTGACTACGTTGCGATTTTATTTATGTTATATTAATTTATATTTAAAAGAAGACCAAAACTACGCTATTTATACTAATGATATGCATATTTTATATTATAATATTTACATAAAAATATATACGTGCCTTACTTACTCTGCTCTCATTATCATTTTTTGTTTCGATTTCATTATATTCAGGAGAGTTCTTATAATCATATTGAATTGTTTTAAAATAATGTCTATAAAATTAGAAAATAAATTTAGAATATAAATTGAATGTGTATATATATTTGCGTCTATAAATACAAATCGAGACACTATATAATTTCGGTATATTTCTATACACTTTGAGCTATTCCGGCTCTTTGCTTTAAATAATGAAAGTAGATTTCCTGTTCAAGTCTCTTTAATATATAAGTTCTTCAAAGTTAAATCACTGTTGACCGATTCGAGTTTCTCGGTGCTCGGAGAATACCTTGATGAAACGTACATTTTGCGCTTCTCTCCGCTATACAGCACACTCACAAAGATCCAACAAGATCGTGGTGGCTCTGTACAATTACACGGCGCGGGAAAGCACCGACGTTAGTTTCGCGAAAGGTGACCGAATGGAGGTCCTCGACGACTCCGAGCCGGACTGGTGGAGAGTGTTGCACTTAACGACCCTGCAGGAAGGCCTGATCCCTTGGAACTTCGTGGCCGTCGAGCGATCGGTCGAGAGCGAAGAGTGAGTGCTTATTGTGCCCTCCATTCTTTCTTCAATCCTCTCCTCTTGACATATCATGTGTCTAATGTATCGCCTTCTTCTATCGCAGTTGGTTCTTCGAAAATGTATCGCGCAAGGAGGCGGGCAAGTTGCTGCTGGTCGACGAGAATCCTCGCGGTACGTTCTTGGTGAGGCCGAGCGAGCACAATCCCCGGGGTTACAGCTTGTCGGTGAAGGACTGGGAGGAAGGAAGGGGCCATCACGTGAAACATTATAAGATTAAGCCACTCGACAATGGCGGTTTCTTTATCGCCACCAATCAAACCTTCTCCAGCTTACCGGCCCTCGTTATGGCATACAGCAGTAAGTGCTTCTCGAATTTATAATGTCTTAATAAACGTTCATTTATTTGCATTACTGTTATATCGATACCTTTCACTTGTTTTCTTCAGTTAGTGGTTCTGGAAGTAAAATCCGAGTTAACGAAATATCTCTGTATTCAATGATACTCATCTTTTGTATTTCTGTTACCTAGAAAACGCATTGGGCCTCTGTCACGTATTGTCGAAGCCCTGTCCGAAACCACAACCGGATATGTGGGATCTTGGACCCGAATTGCGCGACAAGTGGGAGATCAACAGGAACGAGATACAGCTGATCTCGGAATTGGGTAACGGCAATTTCGGCAAGGTTTATTACGGCAAGTGGCGAAACAAGATCGAAGTGGCGGTGAAAACGTTACGTCCGGGAACTATGTCGACCGAAGCGTTTTTGCAAGAGGCTGCCATAATGAAGCAGTTCCGACACAGGCATCTTGTTGCGTTGTACGCGGTTTGCTCAAAGGAAGAGCCCATCTACATCGTGCAGGAATACATGTGCAACGGTAGCCTATTGGATTTCCTCCGGAAGGGAGACGGCAAGTACATGCAATTTGAAGATTTGATATACATCGCGGCTCAAGTGGCCTCCGGAATGGAGTATCTTGAGAGCAAGCAGCTCATACACAGGGATCTCGCGGCGAGAAACGTGCTGATTGGCGAGAAGAACAAGGCAAAGATTTGCGACTTTGGCCTCGCCAGGGTGATCGAGGACGACGAGTACTGTCCGAAGCAGGGTAGCAGGTTCCCCGTCAAGTGGACCGCGCCGGAAGCCATCGTGTACGGTAGGTTCAGCATCAAGAGCGACGTTTGGTCGTACGGAATTTTGCTGATGGAGCTTTTCACTTACGGACAAGTTCCTTATCCCGGTGAGTATCGCTGTTTTATTTTCGCACGCGATGATTATATTATTATTCAGCGTATTTATATTTTTTAGAATTCTCTATATTAACATTAATTTTGTTTTTCAGGTATGCACGGGCGCGAAGTGATCGAGCAAGTGGACAAGGGCTACCGTATGCCGAAACCGTTGAATCATCCGCTGCCTGACACCATCTACCGATTGATGCTACAATGCTGGGATGCCAGTCCCGAGAAGCGACCCACGTTCGAGTTCCTGAATCACTACTTCGAGTCGTTTAATGTCACTAGCGAAATACCGTATCTCGAACCGCCGACGGACTGATATACAGCCCATCAGTATATGCAAAATCATCTAGCGCCGCACGGTCACTTTCATCCAGCCCACATCAATTGTGCCATGGAATTTTATGGTATTTACTGCTAAGTAAATTATTTAGCGTATATCTTGTTGCCCTTATTGAAAACTTCGCAGATTGGCTGTATCGTTCTCGCAGAGAGAAAAGACTTTTTAGTGGGAGACCCTCCCTCGCAATATTCCACATCGTCGTGGCATTTTTCGACTGCAAAATTTTTCTACCGATAGATTTTGCGACCAATCCTCACGAAAAATAATGCCGCGAACTCACTCAACTATCACTGTCAAATGCTGCCGAAAATTCCATCATAATTCCCGTCTCTTTTTCCTTCCCATTCCTTTACATGTCCTTAGTGTTAACGTTAGTATTGAAAAATGGATCGCAAGTTGACTGTCACGGTATTTTTGTAACAGTACCGTTTTCAGAAATGAATTGAAGAAATTAAAGATTCTAATCTTTACGACCAATCAGGCGTTAATCGCATTTAGAAACGAAAAACGTAATCCTAAGACCGCAGGGAGCATTGTCGAGACATATGCTTTACCTGCCCTCTCTTTTCCCCTCTTGGAAATCTGCGATTACTTACTTAAACGTGTTTTCATACTTTTGACGATGAGCAACCACAATAAAGACACTAGCAATGCCGGTAAATTTAAACGGTATTAGAGAGTAACGTGATATATATAAGTTTGGAGAATGAAATTCGAAATTATAGATTATACAATATAATCGTATGTTAGTGTGTATGATTACGAGATATATATAGCGTGAAAAAGAGAGAAGAAAGTGTGTATGTGCGCGAGTGTATGTATTGCGTGTATTGTGAACGTGACTTTTGTCGTACAAGAGTACATTGTATTTACATTTTATTGATCTCGGATCATCCGATTCATCGCGGTTACATCCGAATTTTCCTAAAATCCAGTTTTTGGATACACACAGTCCTCGAGAAAAATTTTGGTATTACGTATATACATATTACTGTGTTTGTGTGTGATGAAACTCAATCGTGAGTAATTAAATAATTTTCAAACGAAGGCTGAATACGCTGACGGATGATAAAATATAGATATAAAGGATATCTATGAATTTTTCACGTAGTTTGTCCATCGAGAGAAGAGTATTTGAAAGAAAAGAGTATTTTCAAAATGGAATGGTTATTGCACACAGCCGCGCGGAGCTTTATTTTCGAGACGATATTATAACGTTCGACGATTTATTCCTCTAAGTGCTAAGAATCGTGTATACGAGTTTATATATACGTACGCTTGTCTGTTATTGCTGCGCAATAATTTTATCTTGGTTGTAAAAAGACACACGCGAATCAGCACGATACGTATATCACTTTGAAACACGAAAGTCTTGGCGGTCTTATTCCGAAAGCAACTTGTTCGTTCGAGAGTCTCTCCGAGTACGCACAAAAATGTGTCTGCCAAAAACAAATCCGATAGCTTTCTACTGATTTTTCTGTTTGTATGTACAGCTCTTTCTTTTTGGCGCAATATATCGATGCATTTAATATCGTCATCATTTCTAAGCATATAAGTTGTCTCAAGTACTGTACGCACGAATATATATGGCTCCGAGCCTGATCCAAGCATTTTCTGCGAAAGCGCAGTAAATACCTCGCACAAATTGGCGTTTTCATTCTTCTTTTTTTCTCATTTCAACAGTCGCTGTGTGAATTACGACGCTCTTTTGCAAAGTATCGTTGATTTTAAGTTTATGTTAAAGAGGGAGAAAACAAGAAAAGATATAGAAATTAAAATACGAGAGAGGCGAGAAAGTTATTAATATCCGGATAAATGCGAATGCCTGTATGCGTTTGAGAAAAAAATATCTCCGATGGGTTTTACGCAGCCCAGAGATTAACGGAGTAAAATCGGAAATACAATCTCGGATAAACCTTAAGTCATCGATGTTACTCGTACAAAGTGTTTGAAGAATTGTAAATTTTCTACTAAAAAAGGAAAGGCGAAATATACACACAAACGACGGATTTAGAGTAGGGATTCTTAGATGATAGGCGTGTCAGTCTCGCCGGGATCGGCGATTTTGCTCTTCGCGGTTCGCCGAAAAAAAAAGAAAGAAATATTCTCACGAACCGCACCTGATTTTCCAGAATCCAATGTCGTCTCCGCGAGGCGTGTCACACGAGACGGAATCGATTGTGCCAAATCTCAGTTCAAACCAGCCCTGGTTTTAGTATCATTTTATCTAATTACCTCAATATTAGCGCGATTAAAGCTTTATAAGAAGCGAAGATAAAAAAATACGTAAAATAGATTATTAATAGTGTTGCGGATAACAGAAAGATATTGTAAAGGCGTTTTTATTATACGTATACATATACATATATATATATAAAATACTGAATATACTAAGAACCGTCGTGTCGAAAAATTACTAAGCGGGAGGATAAAACTTTAATGTTATAATGAATCTGTTATTAATAGTGACAGTTTATATTTCTTTTTTCTATCTAAATTATGGCTCAAATAATGATTTGAAGAGGAAGATTTAATTGCCGAATTAATTAAGATAAAATCAGTTACTTGCTGATGCAAAGAGAACATAATTTTGAAATTTTATTTCTTTCTAAACATAGTTGTATCTCTTTTTGCTTAATTTGTAGTTATTGAATCCCCTCCTCCCTTTTCTCTATCTATATCGTAATTAAATCGATTTAGAAACATGCGATTATATACAAAACCAGAGTTGGTTAACCGAGGTGCGGTCGATCCCGACTGTATACATTTTATTATGTCACGATAAACACGATGAGCCATTACGATACGATAGATATTAGTGATTAAAGCGAAAGCAAAATGCGAGTGTGTTGCGCGCATGTGAGCGTAGGAAATTGTTACATCCACGTGTCAGCGCGGGCCTCTTTTCACGTGTGTCTTCTTTCGCGACCAAACGGTGGAATATCGTGAGCAATAACGCTATGCAACCTTATAAATTCATCGATTGCGCGACAAATTAAAACATTGTTGTAATCGAATCTCTCGAGTTTTTGTTTTTCATTAGAAGGTAACAGAAAAAAAGAAGATTGTTTATTAGATTCTATAATATATATATAATAAAATATTATAATAGTATATAAAATATATATTATAATATATATATACCTATAAAACAAGGATGCGAGATAGTTTTTAGTATCGGCATTTTTATTTTTGATCCTTATTTTGTAAAGATTCCGGGATCTATAAATGGAGTTTTGATGATGTTATTTACGTCGTGCAGCGTGTTTTCAATGAAATTATAACGACGTCATATGGAAGAATGCACGTGAAAAGGCTTTCGCGTTTACGTAGCGTTAGAGAGTAGGTGTATTACGTCCAGTACATTTTTTCTATGAGCGTTTTATACCGATATAAACTTGTTTTCTCATGATGAACGATCACTTGGAAATTTCGCTGATAATAATGACGATGATAATGATAATGATGATGATCGCTGCTGTAGGTCGTAGATTAGAAATGCATAGGGTTTGAAACACTGATGTAAGATCAACCGAAACGATCTAGATAACAGAAACGTCTTGCAAACATCATAAGGACGCCTAAAGATTATCTGCAAGATTAATAAGATTAAAAATTCAAACATCTTTTAGACAATTTTTTACGGCGTCTAAAGGATGTATGACAAAGTCAAACGTCTTTTTAGATATCTTTGAAAGACATTTGAAGAAAAGAAAGGCATTTCTATTGTAGATATGTTTCTCAGACTTTTCTGTTGTTTGAAGAAAGTGACGAGTTGTCGAAGCGACCCGAAACGTTCGCGTTATATATTCGCGTAGACTGTTTTCATTCGGATCACATTTGGACCATGTATTTACAAATTATTATGGTAAAGGCGTCGTGGCCTTTTTCCACTGGATCTAGAGACTGATATTGTTTAAATTAAGTCCACGCGCGTTGCTCTCGAACAAGGGAACCATATGTCCGACTGTTCTTTCATTATTTGTATATGAATCTTTTTTTTTTTTTCAAATTATTCAATACGATATCGATCGTTTGCATTATTATCAATTAAATGTTTCGATCAGTGGAACAAATGTAACAAATATTATATTTATTATACATAATTATATATATAATAATTATATACTACATACCATATATTATAAAAATATAAATATTATATTTATTATTAATCTGTAGTGAAAGAAAAGTATAAATTTTGTAAATGAACAGTATTTTCAAATCTCCGGTATAATTAATTATTCGTGTAATTCTCGTGCAATATCGATAAAATAAATAATTGTAGAACTTATCGGGGAAACTTCGGACGTATCGTTCCCACGCATGCTTTTATTTGCAAATGACGTTTATTAAATTATACAGCGACCTAACAAAGGGCGAGATCGGCGAATTTATGCATTGTACTTAAAATTACGTTCTCAATTAATCGTGGATTTCGCGCGATTCCTCGGAGAGAAAGACTCTATCGTCGTGGCTCCGCTCAAATAAAATTTTCGGTAAATCTGTGATATAGGAACCAATCTTTCTCTCTTTCTCTCTCTCTGACTCATTTTGATAATGACATTATATGTCACGCGCGGCAGCCACGAAAGCATCATACCACTAAAAAGGACAGCGATTATCCACGATATAATCGTTTACAGAACGGAACTGTCTCACGTGATGCGCACATCAAATAGCCAATAATATTTTCTCGTACGCCCGGCTCTCTTTCGTTCGACGTGCATTTTCATTCGTATTGTATCTAAAGCGAAAACGATCAATACACTGTTGTCATTGTTTATATACCAAAGCTTATTATCAATTAAGTAACTTAACGATTACTTTATATTATTATTAATTGTCGTAAGCCTATGCAGATAAATATATTATGTATCATATTAATGCCGCACCTTTATTAATATATATTATATAGGTTTTTTTAGATTTTTTTCTATTCGCGCAAGACAAACATTTTATTTGTCAGTCAAATAGCTAATGCGAGATGAAGTATATGCAAAGGTACAGAAATATTCGTATAAAAATATCTATTTGATTGTGTGGGTGCTCGATAAATACTTCGATACTGATTTTCAGTTTATGCGATTTATTCTAAAACCAATTATTCTTCTCTCTCGTAATACAAAAGTTTCTTTTTAAATACATATAATATAATTATATTCCATATTCCCTTTTATACACTAAAGAAACCAAATAGTGCACAGATACAGATGAAAAAAAAAACAAAGAAAAAAAAGGTATATCGATATCTTTGCTACATTTTTATATAAATATATTATAAGATATTTCAATAATTTCGAGACTATACACAAACAAAAATGAATATCTTTTTCTTTCTTTTTCTTTTGCCAATGTCTATTATAATATATATTAAAAGAATAATTTAGTGTGAATTAAATAGGTTTAAACAAACAGAGAGATATATGATATCGTATAGCGAATGAAATACGCACAGTCTGAGGTAACTGTGCGCGGAAAGAAAGTCTGTATCCGCAAGACTCAAGATACTTTACAGATATTAAGTGTACATCATCTCTGCCATATGTGACATCTTCTTTGGAATATGGACGAACTCTTCGAAGTAGCCGGCGAGTTCGCCGATCGTGACGTCACTCGAGGAAGGTGGTGATATTCGCGCCTGTACCGAACAAGTGTTCGGCGAGCTCGACAACTGTTGACCAGAAGACGAGGCGCTACTCGCATCCGACTGCCCGGTCGTCGTTCGTTGTTCTCCGCCACCTGGACCAGGACCCCTCTTCAGATTCGGCATCGTGTTACTACGAGCACGCTGAAAACTACCGGCCTCGCACTCATCATCTTGAATGCTAGTGTCATCCTTGGCCTGTCTACAATCTTTACTGATTCTCAACGCCTTCAAGTCCTTCATGACCGATTTATCGATTATCTTGGAATTTTTACTGAGAATACTGAGCTTCAACATGTCCTTGAGCGCATCCACCGAATTATCACTAAGATCGCTAGTTCCAGAAGCGCTTGATTTTAGAATATTTAAGAATGAAGATTTACGACTGCTCCTGGTCTTCTCGAATCTGCTGGCTTTCTCAACCTTAGACTTGAAGTTCGTTGTACTTTTAATGCCCTTTGGACTGTCCGAGAACATGGTAGGCCTGTTGGGCATGGATCTTCTTCGAAATAAGTAGCTACTATCGGAAGTCTCACCAAATATCCTGAATAGATTTGTCACCTTTGATTTGTCTGTCGCTGCAATGCTGAAAAAAAATGAAGAAATTAGTTTGCAAGAAAACATGAAAATGTAAATATATAATAAATTTGCTAAAATATTTCATTTATGAGTTCTACTCTCGAAGGAGCTTTAAAATACGAGACATCAAGCAGTGAAAAATAAAGAAGTACTCTATAACGTTACAAGAAATATTCGGCTCTTAGCTTCATCGAACAATATTGAAGACATACAAATTTCTATCCAATCATTAAATGTCATTTATATAAACATTATTACATATTCTTAAAGTCTTTCAAATCACACTTTATTAATGTTATACTCTTTCTCTCACTTGATTTTTCTTTCTTAAGACTATAACCGACGCTATTAAGTTATTTCCAGCATCACGGGATCCCGGTATCTAGAAATCTAAAAATAGAGCGTCTAAAATCTTTTTCTCGATGGAATCGAGTCGCACTCTTTATTCTATTGTGCACAAATTCGAAAAGCGATGATTTTCGACAAAAGAAACACGTCTCCGCGTATGATTGCAAATAATGTACCGTGACGTTATTGGCAGACCTTGACCGCGATTCACGCAGAGTACACACAGTTTCGACAGCCCGTTCGCTCAACGGGAAGCCAAACTTTTCAGATGCTAGAAGTGCGAAAGAATTTTAAATTCAGCGCAACAATCCGTCGACGAATCGGCTACAATCTCGATAAAGAATTCTCGTCGTTTCTCCAACGTTTACGAACAGTTTCGACTGACACGAAACTGAATACTTACTGGGAGGAACTCTTGGAACGACGATCAATCTCGAGTCTCTGTAGACGCGCCGGCAACACGTCGTCCTCGTCGCTCATAGTCGTCACCAGGCTGCGAGCTATTTTCGCAACATCGGATTTGACAGCCGAGTGTCTCGCAAGGATCCGGAATAAACACAACAAACCGCGAGACGACGAGTCGCGCGGATAGGTTAGAACGTAGACAGCAGGGACGAGGATGACGACATTACGATGCGACTTGTGCACGACGATGGCGTAGCGACCGATCGTTCCCCGTCCCCGTCCTCTCGTCGACTTTGACAGCTCGCGTGCGGCTTTCCGCGCGAGCGTTTGACAGCGCCCGCGAGAAGTGACAGGACGCGTCCGCGTCGAATCTGTGCGAGCAGCTTCGGAGGCGTGGAAAACTCGCGATCAATTAATCACACACAACGATGGCGTACGTAAATAAACACTGCTACTGCGCGGCATCGGAGACCAGCGACTCCCGAAGACACCGGAAGAAGATGTCGTCCTAGATGGCGCTACGAGCGCGAGATCGCGTCATCCTATTGGTCGAAATTCGCCGCGACATTTTGTTGTTGACCGCGAAGACTTCTGGAAGCGTCAAGAGCGTGCTTTGGATTCAACGAATCAATTCATGTTAATATTGGTGTGTCCTGATCAAATTGATTGGTGCAGTGACAGTGCAAGTTGGTGGAAGCGAAAATTCGCAGTATGAAATACGAAATATCCAGGTAAATTAGGATGAATTTATGTATATGGTTATGTGTACGAGCTTCATTCTCATCGTTTTCGTATATTAATTAAGATTTTGTAAAGATTCAACGAATAAATTAATGTTAATATTGGTGTCCTGATAAAAAAGTGATTGTTGCAGTGACGGTACAAGTTGATGGAAGCAAAAATTCGCAGTACGAAATATGAAATATCCAGGTAAAATATGAATTTATATATAATTATACATATGCTTTCTCATCTTTTTCGTATATTTTATAAAGATTCAACGAATAAATTAATGATAATATTGGTGCATCCTGATAAAATTAATTGTTGTAATGACGGTATAAGTTGGTGGAAGCGAAAATTCGCAGTACAAAATACAAATAAGTATCAAAGTTTAAAATACATATAAAGTTATATATGTATATATGCGATTATATTATATTATATGCATATTGCTATCACAGACTTCTATATAAAATATAAATAAATATAAATATAAATTATATATAGAAGTCTGTGATTGCTATTTGTGAAAATTGCAACACCATGAAGGAATATATATACATATGTATATATATATAATTATTTAATATAATATAATCCTATTGCATATAATATTTAATTATAAGAAGAATAATTGAAAAATAATTTGAGAAAAAACTGATGAAAATTGTTATATAAATAAAAGGAAAAAATTACATATATAATTATATATATAATAATATATTAGACAATTTCTCCCTTTTAAATAAAATATATATAATCACTTTTTATTTATTAAAATTTTATTTCTTTTTTTAATATAATACAAAAATTATTTTTCTAATAATTTTTCAATTATTCTTTTTATAATTAAATGTTAGTCTAGTAAACTTTGCTTAAACTTCTCATAACATAGAAAACATGAGTTATATTATTATTTCGTTTATTGATTTATGTCTTCAATTTTTCAAGATTTCTTTTAAAAAATGCTTCCGTCATATTATGATCCTTAATCTTTCGAGGTGTTTACATTATCCGAAACTATCTGCAAGAAAAGATCTTGAAATATTGCACTTGTTTTTTTCTTGTCTTAATATATAAGAAAGATTATGTCACCAGACTAAAGATAACTCTGCGAATTTTCGTGCGATGTAAAAAAATGCACGTTTATAACGGAACATAATTAAAGATTGCAAGCTTACAATCATGTCAAATTGTTTTATTAATTGTTTTTTAATGTCCGAGAGAAGAATTTAATATTATTAGCACATTTTACTAGTCTGAATTTGGTATAAGTCGATCCTTTACGTATAAAATTCGATGATTCAGTGGACGAATTTCGCTATATGCTGACGCACTTTCGCGGCCTAGCTTTATTTTAACGTACAGTTGAAATATTTACGAATTCTCTCTTCTGAAAAGCATGTAAACAAAGAGAAAACGGCTGGTCGTCTCTATTTCTCGCTAAAAGCGTGTTCTTTCGGAATTGTTTCCAATACGATGTTATATCATCAACTCGATCATCAAGTATTGTAGACATACAGTATTATCGAGAGAGAGATTGATTGAAACACTTTAGATATTACACATAACAAGAAAATTTATTTCTTTTTATCTCCGATGTTATTTGCGATAGAGAACCATATATAATTTTATTTTATGATTTTAATTATTATTTGAATTATTATTTTATGAATTTTAACAATGCCAATATAAAACTTATATATTTCATGTACATATTGCGTATTTTGAAAAGGAAGAAACGATTTCTTTAGAAACATAAAAATGTAAAATTTTTCAACGTGTTTTTAAACAAATACAATTTTCGTGAGAAGCGTTGAAAAGTAGAAAGTTTAATAATTCTCAAAATATTATAGATATTTATGTTTTATTTATAGAAATATGCTCTATTTAGTTGTAGCGTTTATATCTTAATCCTCGAGAAAAAATCTCTCAGACTTTCTATCTAGATTTTCTTTTTTATTTTTATATAATATATATATATTATCATATTATTTAAATAATTTTTATTTTGATATAAATATTATAAACGCTGCAAAAGAAAAACATGAAAGAAAATTATATGGTGCATGATATAGCAGTATTTTCTTTTGCTATATGCCATACGTCATAGATAACTTCTTTTCGTATATTACATAAAAATATATTAAAATTTCTGTTGAAAAAAGGGAGAATTGAAAATTTGAGAGCGGCGAGAAAGTTAGAAAATTTAGGCATTTAATCGGTTAGAAATGAGCTCTGGCGACACGCCAAAATTTCATCGTAACATTAACGTGCAGCGAAGTTTCCGAGTCAACGTGACATCGGGATACAGATGCACGTTGCACCTACGCATATCCGTTGCAACGGCCAGGAGGCGATCACCCGGCGAATCGCCGGTGCGGAACGCCACGTTTCTCTTACGGTAAAGTTATGTTCTCCACCGTTATTAGGCTGCGGTGATCTTTATGGATCGCACACGCGCCGTATTTTCCCCCGCAAATCACCGCGTTATGCAATTTTACGTCACTCTGATGCACTCTCGCACGGCACTTGATATATTTTGAAACTGGCTATTAAATGAATGTAAATTGAATCGTTCTAAGGAGAAGTGATATGAATCCTGTATGAAAACGATATTTCCTTTTTCTGAAAGCGATTTATTTAAGAGTTAAGATATTGGTTTAAGATTTACAATTGGATACAGGATGTGTCATAGAAATAATTTGCAAATTTAATATTTTCTATATATTGAATATTCAATAAGAATTTAAAAATTAAGTAGCAAAAGTTAATGAGTAGGATACCAACAATAACTGCTTTTATGCCTAAAGTTTTTTAACATCGTGATGTTAAAAAACTTTAGGGTACCAACCCTATTTATTGACGTACAGTTTTCTGTTTATTTGTATTTTTATATTTTTATTGTATATGCATGCTTTATGTTCTTAGCACTATAAAGTTATTAGTTTTATTATTACAAAAGCGTTTGGGCCGTATGATTATGTTTATGGCATATTGCTATACTAAATAGTTTAGTTGGGATTTTCTTACAAAATAAAATGTGCTTTTAATTAAATTAATTCTAATGTGGCACAATGAAAAATCTAATAACATTTTCTAATATAAAGATTAATACAAGTTTTCGATACAAGTTGAAAAAATTATCATATTAAAAAATATTAATTATTCTATATAGATTTATAGAAATTATACCAAAGGAATAAAAATTTCTAAATTTAATTAAAATAAGATTATCAAATTAAAAAAATGTAAAAGAGAGAGAGAGAGAGAGAGAGTTTAATGTTAAAATTAAAATGATATTATTTACTTAATACATATTACATTAAAAACATGTGAAATTAATCGGAAATCATTGAACGAATGTGCAAGAAGTTATGTGGCACATCTATGGATACGGATATAGCGAGCTAATTAAAGAATTGGGGAGGTAACGCTTGCAACCGGATACGACAAGATATGTATCATCGGGTTAGAATTATTTGGGTATAAGTGTTGCGAGTAATTTTAAATACATAATTAATGTATTTTAAATTATTTACATAATTTAATATTTTGAGTAGATACATATGTATACATGTCACATAATACGTAAAATATTTCGGCAATATTTATTAGTCGAATATATTTCGTCCCCCCTTTTATTGCTCAACTTTTGCTCGCTCTACATTAATTTGCATGTATAATTCAAATAACAAAAGAACAACACTCAATTGCAAATAATCAAATAATTAAAATGAAGATATTAAGGTCCATGATACATGAATTGTATAATAAAAACTAGAACAATACAAGCACGCGCGCTATTCTTCGCACTTTTATATTAAAAAGATTGATATTAAAAAATTAATAAAAATTGAACTATATTAATCTTTTGACAGAAATCAGGTAATAACTGTTAAAAAAGATGAATCTTTAAATAATATATTATTAATACAAATTAAATAATACTAAAGTAAGGTTCTTTATATTATAGATAAATAACTATAAAATTAGATAATTAAATAATTCATAAATTAAATAATTAATAAAATGCTTTATTAATAATTAATTAATATGTTGAATATGTTTAGCAGGCTTCAAAATATGAAAAAAACGTCAAAGTTTTTATCATACATTCAAAAATGCGAGTTTTGGGTTAAATATATATTGAGTGGCAGCCTATAGTCGGAACTATGTTACAGAACTATAGAACACGTCGAAAACTATAAAATTCCATTGTTCAAATTTGAAAAAATGTGAATGATATGCTAACTTGGCTTGAATGAACTAAATTGCACGTATTATTTTTATAAATTCTTTATTTTAACGTCAATAATAGATGAACAAAATAATATGAAACATATTGTTGATATAAAATAGATATACGTAAATGAGCATCGATAAATTTAATGCAGTTACTTATACATATACGTCGGATTATTCATCATAATAATTAGGCATTTGCGACAGATATAACAAGGAATGTATTTATATACAATTACATTAAATTATACTAAACAAACAAGCGCGCGCTTCGCTCTATTGATTTTATGTGCTTTGATTTAATATTATTTTGAACAACTGTCAAACTATTACCTCTGCGATGACAGCTGCTCAATGCTACGAATAATTACGCGAATCGAGACAGCCAGTTAGCATCGCGGAAAAGAGACAACAATAAACTTCGAGAGATACGATTATCGACTTTACATAAATTTTTGGCTGCGGTCCTATGATATTAAATATCGGCAATTATTAATCTTAGCGATAAAACTAATACTAATATTAGGACAAATAACACTAATATTAGGAAAAATAAAACTAATATTAGGAAATATCTTACAGCACATATACATATGTCATCATCATTTTGACTCTGTAGCCTCTCGTAGGCCTTGGCCTGCTTACATATATGTCATAATATGTAAATTATTTCGGCAATAAATTATCAATAACATGTTATCCCGTAATGTCGTCAACATTAAAGCGTTATTGTTGCCATCGAAATCGGAAAACTATTCTCTATGGTAAAATGATTTAAATTTAAGTTATTAAGTGTCTATAATTAATTGTAATTACACGATATTAAATCTCGAAACGTATTTTTCGTGTAATTCATATATTAAATCGATTAATGAATTAATCTGTATTTAAAAATTTTATAATTTAGTATTCTACTTACGTATACATATTTATACACAGAGAGAATTTTCCCTTACTCTGAA